CACATTTTGAAATGAATGTAGGTGGTGAATGCAGGTTAACTGAAAAGTTTGGTTTTGAGAGGGAGTGCTGTTATAATAGGAAAGAGTGGCCCAAGAGAAAACAAAGTTTTTCTAAGCAGGTACAGGAATAAATTATGATTACTAGCACAGAATCAGGGAGGTATTTAAGGGAAAATTTGAAATCTGGGAATCTCTTCGGGAAAAGGCTAATGACTAGAATTTTTTTTGTGTGTTTGTGACATTTTCATTCATTTATCAAATATTTGAGTTCTTACCATGTACCAGCCACTGAGTTAGGTGCTGGGGATTTATATTATGGCAAATAAGACAGATATAGTTCTTGCCCTTTGGTCATGTATGAGGGTATTAATTTCAGTACATCTGTGTCAACAGTAGATTAAAAAAAAATTTTTTTTTGCCATTTTGACAGGCAAAAACATATCTCATTGATTACTGATACTGAGAATTTTTTTTTCATGGTATTGACCATTTTTATGTCTTTCAGTTAATTTTGAGCTCAGAGTCTGTGGCTTTTAATCGGAGCTTTTTGAAACTATTAATATTTTAATAGTAAAATATTAAATTGAAACTAGTAAAATATTTTAGAAACAGTTTTTTAGATTTGGAAAATAAGGAGGTGTTCCCATGATAAATTTAGTGTGATGATATTTCTAAAATGGATTTTTCTCCTACCTCCCACCCTTCATTGTTTTAAAGAAATCTTTACCAATTGCTGCAATATGGATGCAACTGGCAGCAATCTAAGTTTATAGGAAATTGCCTTGAGCAGTACTGTCTCTACTCCCTCTACCTGTATTTCAAGCATTTCAAGTGAATGTTTATATCAAAACTTAGATCTAGTCAGGATTTATAATAACATGATTAAGGAGGTTCTGCTTAAGTCCTGGGGCATGAGAAAAATGTGTCTCTTATACTTTAAATATTAGTGTATTTCACTCAGCCATTCCGTAAATATTAATTTCTTACCTTTTGTGTTACAGAGGTTAGGGAGAGAATGAAATGTCTTTGATTTTTGCCTTGTTTTTTCTGGAGGCTGGCCAATATGTTTTTTCTGAACCCTTTACCTTGGTGTTATCAGCACCACATTCTACCAAGCAAGTTAACTGGCTAGCCCTTGGCCTGTTTATTTTCTAATATGCTGTTTTGTTTTTTTTTTAATGTGATACGATTCAAAGTTGTTTTGTAAAAATAATAGTGTTGTACCATTGGTAAAATGGTAGACATTCTTGAAGTTTTTTCTTAAGCATATTTTGTTCCAGAAGACTTGTTTTTATTTATTTATTTTAAAAATTTTTTTTTCCTTTTTGTCTTTTTTCGTGTCCGGCAACGGATCGCAACCCTCAGTGTCGCGCCCGTACCGGACCGGGACCGGCAACGGGATCGCAACCCTCGGTGCCGCGCCCGCACCTCGCTCAGCCAGTGAGCGGGAACCGGTCTGTATGTGGGATCCGAACCTTCGGCGGGAGCGCCGCTGCGCTCCCAAGCAGCGCACTGCTACAGTGCGCCACCAGGCCGGCCCCAGAAGACTTGTTTTTAAAGTGACCTATTTTGGGGTTGAAAAATCTGTTCTTGTACAGTGTGCCACCGGGCCGGCCCCAGAAGACTTGTTTTTAAAGTGACCTATTTTGGGGTTGAAAAATCTGTTCTTGTCATATTCTTGAAACATTCTTTGATTTGATATGGATTCTTTCCCTTTTTCTTGAGTTGGGGTCTTTTAAAAACTCATGCTTTTACAACTCAGGTTTGTGGATATTCCTTAATAAAATGGAAATAGCCCTTGGGCTCTGTGTCTTCCAACATTTTCCTTTGTGCTCTTGGCAAACCATTGTTATTTTTAAGTCTGTTTAGCTACATAGTTTAGAGCTAGAACTCTGTATTTATCAGCTATGTGTCCTTGGGTAAGATATCCTTTCTTAAGTTCCCTATCTGTCAAATGCAGTAAGAGGGTTGTTAGGATTAAATGGCAGAATGCATGTTCAGGCCAGTGTCTGACACATAGCAGGTCCTTAATAAGTATTGGTATGTATTCCTGTTATCTATCTGCATATTACCTGATTTGGCAGTTTCACCAAGATGTGAAGATTATCTGTGAAAACAGATATAAAAGCAGTAAGTAAAAGTTAGGTGGATGAATAAGTATGATAGATAAATTTCTTTGCACAGCTAATGTTTAGATATTAAGTCACATATACTAGTCATTCTTTTATCAGGAAATAAAAATCCACTATGTAAACATTTTATAATAGTTATCCTAAAATCAATTAATTTACCTTTTAAAGTTGTTCTATTAAATAACTTGTTTTTGGCTTAAATGAGTGCCAGCACTATATTCTACAGTTTTGCAGCTGAGTTTATGTATCGTGCTGAGGCAGCTATATTAAGTTTAAAGCTGGCTCACTACTGGGTAATGCAGCTATGAAGGAAAGAAAGTGTTTTCAATTATTAAATGAGGATGATATTTTTAGATGTCACCCAAATCCCAAATTGATACATTCATTCTTGCCCTCTTTCTAGAGTCCTATATCTCCAGCAGCTTATTGGATATTTCCACATAGATATTTTTGCTCTCATTTCAATCTCAACATGTCCAGAACTGTGTTTATGATCTTGCTTCCAGAATTGGTGCTGCCTCCAATTTTCTTTTTTCTATTAGTGATATCATCATTTCCCTCCCAGACTTGATCATCTTTGATTTCCATCTTGACTCCTCTCTTTGCTTTCTTCCTGGGTACTTTTTGTTTCTTTAGCAGTCTCTTATGTCCTTCACTTCCTTTTTTCTCTACTGCTTTCCAACCTCATTTTCTTATCTCTATAAAATAATCTTCTATCTCTGACTTTTACAGCCATCAATATTGAATACCAGATTCAGTGCCCCAAATCATCAATCTTAATGAGTCACTCTTCTGTAAAACTGTCAGCAACTCCTTGTTAGCTATTAAAGATAAATATTATGTTTATATAGATAAATATTACTTTCAAGTCTTAATCACCAACCTCTCCCATTCCAGCTTTACCTCTCACTGCTCTCCTACATGAATTGTTCTCTCCACCCAAATTTTTCAGTTTGGTGTCTCTTCACACCCTTTCCCCTTCTATTTAGAAAGCCTCTTTTTTATGACTAAACAAATTTTGCCTATTCTTCCTATCCTATTTCGTTAAGGTGAAGTTATGTCATCCCACTGTGATACTTTCTCTTCTGAACTCTGAGTACTTAATTGTTCATTTCTTTCATTTGGTGCTTAATCATTTGTATGTAGTTTCTAGTATTGTATCTAGTTTCTGAATTGCTTAACTTTACCTGTCTGTATATCTGATTTTTTTTTACTGCTTAGTATTGTATCTAGTTTCTGAATTGCTTAACTTTACCTGTCTGTATATCTGATTTTTTTTTTTGTAGTTTGTTGGCTCCCTGGGGATGAGGATTATTTCTAATTCCTTGAATTCCCCAGAACCATGCTAGTATATGAAATGAGGATGCAATGATTGCTGAATGTTGTGTGATGAAGATATTTTTCTGAATAATAGGAGCTTTTCAAAAACTTTTAAAAACCAAAACCTTTAAGATAAAAATTGCTAAAGAGTATATTAATAAACTTTATGAATAAATTTTTTGAGATGCTGAAATTTATTAGTACTGTGGCATTATTGAGCTTAAACTAGAGCTACCTGTTCAAAAGACTGCTAAAATCATTAATGGGATGGTTGGCCCTGAGAACCTCACTTTAGAAAGAAAAGATAGGTGAGGGAATAAGTCTCAGGCCAGAGTTATCAAGTTCTATAATTGCAGCTCCGTGTTAACCTCTTAGATACCCCCAAATCTCATTCTTGTCCTGCTTTGATGAGAAGCATAAAGCCCAGGTAAGAAATGGGGAGTTAAGAGGAAGAAATACAGGTAAAAGAGGCAAGGAAACTTGTAAAACAATGAGAAATATATTGTTTCTCTTGTTTGTTTTAGTAATTTTGCTGCCATCAGATTCAAAGGCAGCTTCTAAAGTTAGAGAGTAGACATTGGGAGAGGGGGGCTTGGCATTCTTAAAGGGAAACTGCTAGGGCCGGCCCGTGGCTCACTTGGGTGAGCGTGGTGCTGACAACACTAAGTCAAGGGTTAAGATCCCCTTACTGGTCATCTTTTAAAAAAAAAATAAATAAAATAAATAAATAAAAATAAAGGGAAACAAAGGCTAGCAGGAAAAAGAAACTTGGAAGGAGAATTTGGTTTTCTTTCTGTATTACATTTGTAAACTATCCCTTCTTGTGTCTTCATGGAACTTAGCAATTGGGTGCCCAAGAAGGCTTTTTCAGGTAGGATGGGGAGTGGTCAGTGGGAATGTGGAGATATCAGTGGTTTACTAGTGTAAGGGATTTTTAAGAGTAACTCTATCCTAAACAATAGCTGTGACTCCCCCTTAGGAGCTTCAGCAGGCTAAGCAAGAAAGGAGAGACCAGGGGCGTTGATGCAGAGGGACAGAATAAGTTAGACAGTCTCTGTTCTGCAACTTATTAGCTGTAAAACTGGGCAAATGACTCGCAGGTGTCAAGGCCTAACAGTCTCCTGAAATAGCTGTTATAGTAAATTTCCTGGTTGACTGCTTGCATGTGAGGAGATTCACTAAAATTAGTTCTTGAAAATCTTACTGTTCATCCTGTAGATGTGGCTGTGCATGTGAGAATACTGACTCTATGCCACTAGACTCAGAAAACTTCCCCTTGTTTGCTTTGTAGTCCCTTTTTGGAATATACTCAGAATGGTATCTTCTGAAAGAAGATTTGTATCTTTCTGTCATTCTAGATTATATGCCAAGGTCCAGTAAATCATCTCTTCAATTAAAGGGTTGTTATTTTAGAAGGAATCTTAAAAAAGAGTTATTGTTGTTTTTAGAGGGAATCTTAAGTTCTGTGACATAAATAATAATTATTAAATAAACTGTGTTTCTTTTATAAAAATCTTGTAAGAGAATTTTTTCCCTTAATCTTTATAGAAAATGTACCAGAGGAACTTCGAGAACCATTTTACACAGATCAGTATGACCAGGAACACATCAAACCACCTGTTGTTAATTTGCTTCTATCGGCTGAACTGTACTGTCGTGCTGGGAGTCTCATTCTCAAGAGTGATGCTGCAAAACCCCTTTTGGGCCATGATGCTGTAATCCAGGCTTTAGCACAGAAAGGTCTTTATGTCACTGACCAGGAAAAATTGGTAAATGAACGAGATCTCCACAAGAAACCCATACAGATGGTGAGTCTTTGTATAACCAAGATTATTTTAAGTTTGAAGTGCATACTTTTGAGTGTGAATTGTACTATAAAACTGAGGGAAATATGTTTTGAAATTGGATTATCACCTGCACCTAGAGTTTAAAAACCATCTTTTTCTTATAAATCTCATTTCCAAATAAAGGAAGATTTTAACAAATTATTTTGGAATGTTTAGTGCCCTCTAATACCTGGAGGAAACAATTACATAACTTCCAACTACTTTAACGTAATTTTTATTCAACTTAGAAAGCTTATTTTTTCCATTGTAGAGACTAGCTAGAAGAGATAAAAATGACCCTTGATTTTATTCTCTTTAGGAAAGAGTTGAGATATGTGTTCATTTACATGCTTGAATAACCTCTTGGTAAGTTTCTACATATCAGATATTTTAGTTTATTTAATAACCATTAACTCATTCTTGAGAAAACACACTCAGAAGGACTCTAAGCTGGTCTAGGATAAGCATTTAGGAACTCTCTCATAGATAGTTTTTGGAGACATAAATCCAAATATTTAAGTTCATTGTATGCTGCTTCAGTCTGTTGTACTCCTTTCACTTAAGTTGCACAAAATGCAAACATCATCAAGAATGGTATTAGAAGGAAAAACGGTTGTACACATTTGATTAAATCATGTTGTCATATGATATTGGTAGTTTTGCTTGGGGGAAAGGGAGGGGTATATGTAGAATAGCATATTTTAAAATGAAATTATAAAATTTAAGAAGAGTGAACAGAAATTAGTTTACCCAATCTAGTACTGAATGAGGTTATGACCTACTGTAAAGCTACACAACTATGCCAGTTGTCGAATAAGGCAAATTATAACTAAAGCCAAAATGTTTTGTTGTTTTAGTTATACTAAGTTTCCATTTGTATTGTCAGAGCTAGGGCTCAGGCCTTTGAAACCCATTGTACAGACTGGGTCACCAGACCCCTCACATGCAGGTCCACGCTAGGTAATTGGAAAAGATCCTGGGAGCCATTGGCAGATGACACGAGCTCAGTCCTCAGCAATGGCAGCAGCAGCTTACAGGTCCAGCAGCTTACAGGTCTGGCAGTGGTGGCAGCCTCGTGGAGGGTCCCTGGGGCCCTGGCAGCAACCCCCTTCAGCAGTAGCAGCCTCCCCATCCCCCAGGGATGGGGGAGACTGTGGATCAAAGCCACTCTTCCTTTATACTTAAGTCCATAACCTAGGACACCTGGGTGCACATGCACAATTACATTAGACAGCAACCAAGGAACACCTGGGTGCATGTACCTATTTACATCAAATGCTTGGCAAGATTCTGAACATCTGAGGGGCCCTGACCATGTTCCTATATTTTTCCAACACCTACTTTGCTTTCTGCGTATTTTCCTTCTTTAAAAAATATATTTTAATACTTCTAAGGAATGGAGAATAATGACTCAAGAATAATTTAGTAAATTGAATTTAGTTACAAATTTACAATAGAATTATTAAGGATAACTAGGCATGTTTATCTATTATCATATGAGATTTTCAACTTTCATTGACGGCTCCAAATTTACCTTATGATTATTCTCTGACTTTTGTACACCTGCTTTGTGTACATATCATATATGTGAACAGTTTCCAGGGGCAAGCAGAATTCTACTTAGGTGTCCTGGCAGTATCTCACATTCAGCTCCTCCAGAATCACTCAACTAGTTGGAAGCTCTTGCTGTGATTACTTCTGCTTCAGGTGTTTCAAGACTAAGTGGATAGTTACAAAGCACATTGATGACTTTTTTCGTTAGCGTTTGCTTAGTAGCTGTTCCCTCAGATACACACACACATGCATTAGATAACCTAGTTGTCCTTAAAGTAGGTTATCTCTTTTAGATCCTCTTTAATCAGAATGAAACAAACAACATATTTTCTACCTCAGTTTGCATGAAGATACAGTTTGAAGATATTTGTAGAATTAATTGAAAATGAGGAATTCGGCGGTAAGGTGCTAATTGCATTAGTCAGGTTTCTCTCCTACTGACTGTATTGATCTTGTTGATAGCTTTGAATGCATTAAAATATTATTAAAAGAATGTCATTTAAATTTTATAGTATCTCTCTGTTTCTGTGGTTCTTCTATTTGTGGGTTGTTAGAACTTGAGAATTTCTTACTTGACTACATCATATTAGCCCTTAGCAGTGTCATATTCATTGACCTATGTTTGAATTGCATACTTTGAATTTTTGTCACAATTTGATTTAAAGTTTTCCAATTGCTTTGACATTTTGATTGATGATATTGTAATATTATATTACTATTTTCCTAAAGCCTATGTGAGAAAATTTCTCAGATTATTGGTAAAAATTTGTTCCTTAAGAAACTGTTTTTTTGGGTTTTTTTAAGAGTAAAATAAGAGTTTTGCAAATTATCAGCATGTTTCATTGCACTGAATATATTGAACACCTCTCCCACCACTTTCCACCTCTAAATTACGTTAGTAATTTGGGGATGTTTTATTTCTGTATGCTGTCTCACAGCCTTTTAGGAAAAAAACGTGTGGTAGTAGCAAAAATATCATACTAACTTTTTAAGAAATAATGTTAGTACTAAGTCTTTTTGATCAAAGTCTCAGACAGTATAAAACTTCCCAGTGAAATCATATGTGTTGACAATAGTTTTTACAAGAATGTACACCAAACTGTTAACTTTGGTTTCCTCTGGGGAATGAGGTTATAAGGAGGCTGGAGAGATAAGTGGAAACTTTCATTTTTTATTTGTTATATTTCTGTACTGTTAAAATTTTTATATATAATTATACTATTTTAAAATATAAAATATAGAGAAGAAATTTAAATTTAAATAGAAATGGTCATTATCTGAAGTAAAGTGCTGTGTTTGCATATAATAAATGTTTCTGATAGATTGTTACAGAAATGAGTATCCTTTAAGCAGACATAGGAAATGAGAATACATATTGAAGACTTCTCTAAATGTTTAAATTCAAGTATTCCATAAATGGCAGTCTGAAGCTTTAACATGTCTTTTCTGCAGTTCATTTTAGTAACCAGTCTTTAAAAAGAAAAGATGCATGACTAAGGCAAGTTTGACTAATAAGCAGATCTTATTAATTTTGGAGTGGGGATTGAGAGGAATTTTTTTTTAGTAAGAAATGATGTTGGAGAATATATGCTTTTTATTATAGTGCTTTTAAAGACAAATTTTGAGAGTATAGCTTTTAAAATGTTTTTGAGAGCAGAACATTTTATTTATTTGTTTGTTTATTGCAGCTAGCTGGTATATTGAGAGCAAAACATTTTATTTATTTGTTTGTTTTGTTTTGTTTATTTATTTATTTATTTATTTATTGTGGCTAGTAAGTATAGGGAACCAGCACCAGGCTCTCCCAAGTGAGTTAACTGACTTGTCCTGAGAACAAAACACTGTAAAGTAAAAATTTCAAAATGCTTTTAAAGTAATTTTGAGAGAGAGCTTATCTTTTAAAATGTCTTCTGTATTTATATTACTGGGAAGGTATTTTCAGATACTGTGTCTTAAAGCCAATTAATTATATTAAAGTTTATTTCAGTACATAAACATTGTAAGATTGATAGAATGGATTATAATTGTGATCTGCTTCATGAATATTACAAATAAAAGGACAAATGTAAAAAATATACAGTCGCAATGTTAAAAAGCACACACTTCTAAGAGCTAACATGAATATAAGTTGAGCATCCCTAATCCAAAAATCCAAAGTCCAAAATACTCAAAAATTTGAAGCTTTTTTTTTTTTTAAAGATGACCGGTAAGGGGATCTTAACCCTTGACTTGGTGTTGTCAGCACCACGCTCACCCAGTGAGCTAACTGGCCATCCCTATATGGGTTCCGAACTTGGGGCCTTGGTGTTATCAGCACCACACTCTCCCGAGTGAGCCACGGGCTGGCCAGAAATTTGAAACTTTTTGAGTGCCAACATGATGTTCAAAGGAAATGTTCTTTGGAGCATTTGGGATTTCACATTTTCAGATTTAGGGATACCAAACTGCTAATATTGCAAAATCTGAAAAAAGTCTGAAATCCAGAACACTTCTGGTCCCAAGCATTTTGGATAAGGCATTACTCAGCCTGTATATATATGCATGAATTAACAGTACATGTATGACTGAGTGGTGACCAGAGGAAGAGTTGTGTGCATTAAGATCACAGAGAAACGGGCCGGCCTGTGGCTCACTCGGGAGAGTGCGGTGCTGATAACACCAAGGCCACGGGTTCGGATCCCATATAGGGATGGCCGGTTAGCTCACTGGGTGAGTGTGGTGCTGACAACACCAAGTCAAGGGTTAAGATCCCCTTACCGGTCATCTTTTAAAAAAAAGAAAAAAAAAAGATCACAGAGAAACATCTTTCAACTAAAAGTATATTCCAGCCCAAACTTATGTTATCTATCAAATTATTTATCAAAATAAATATACAACACCAAGTCAAGGGTTAAGATCCCCTTACCGGTCATCTTTTAAAAAAAAGAAAAAAAAAAGATCACAGAGAAACATCTTTCAACTAAAAGTATATTCCAGCCCAAACTTATGTTATCTATCAAATTATTTATCAAAATAAATATACAACACCAAGTCAAGGGTTAAGATCCCCTTACCGGTCATCTTTTAAAAAAAAGAAAAAAAAAAGATCACAGAGAAACATCTTTCAACTAAAAGTATATTCCAGCCCAAACTTATGTTATCTATCAAATTATTTATCAAAATAAATATTGGTATTCGGGATGATTTAAAAATTGAGGGATTTCAGGCAAATGGAGCCAAATGCTAAAGAAGATGGCTTTTTAAGGAGAAGGTTTTGAACTTTCTTCCATAGGAAAATGAAGTTGTGTGGAATTGCATTTAGTATCATCAAATTGGGCTGGGGGGTTTGATCATTGTCATAGGATCTTAAATTCAGAAATTCTGTAGCCAAAAGGAACCCTAGAAATCAGAAACCAGTGCATGTAAAACTTCCTGACAGCTACCTGGGG